ATGGATACCACCAATTCTTGTTTTACTACTCTAGCTAAGACTCTTAATAGAATATTGAATAGAAGTGGTGAGAATAGGCCTCCTTGTCTTGTTTGTGGTTTCAAAAAGGAAGTTCTCTGTCCTTCTCAATTAATATTGTCCGGTGTCCTTTCACATATCTTTTGGATCACATTGAGGAATTCCCTTCTTTTCCAGTCTTTTTAATGGATTTTATCAAGAAAAGGTGTTGGGTTCTATCAAGTGCATTTTCTACATCCGTAAAGATGATCATGTGGTTTTTTCCCCCTTTGCTCTGTTGGTGTGGTATTTTATTTTGATTGATATTCTAATGTTGCACTGTGTGGCTGTTACATAATCTCCTGTCAACTTGTGAAGGGGTGGAGTCTAGCCTGTCAATCAGGTCATAGCCAATAATACCTCTGTGTGGGCATCACCTTCTCCTGAGGATTCTGGGAACTCCTGTCTTCCTCCCTGGAGGTGGGACACACACTCTCTCTCTGCTTGACATTCCTGTTGACAAGCCACATGGGCTAATATCGGACTTATGGACTTGATCTGTACTGAGGAGCCACGCCAGTGCTGAGATGCCTCCACCGCCACTGGATCCACAAGACTTTTCACCCACTGGCCCACAGATCGCATCTTCTTGCATTCAGCATCATTGCATATGTTGTGGGAGTCTGAAGAGGAATTTATAGACTGGTATCAGATATATGAACTAATATCAGACTTATGGATTTGATCTAGATTGTGCTGGGATATTTTCTCAATATACAATTGTTCTTTTATATAAAGCTATTTCTTATACACATATGAGTGTCTACAAATGTTTCTCTAGTCAACCCAGACTAACACACACTGTCCTTGCATTCCTAAAGCAAATCCCATTTAGTTATGGTAGATGCTCTTTTAATATGCTCTTGGGCTTGGTTCACTCATATTTTATTGAATAGTACGGAGTTCTAGGAGGAAAAGAATGTGTTGGAACTGATTGTGGCAGCAATTG